GCCATCGATTATTTCTTCTATCATGTTAAAATTATGTAATAATTGCATTGGTGTTACAAGCAGTCGTAATTGAGCGTACGAAATTGGTTAGTTAGTTGATAATTCCAGGCTATATTATTAAAATGAAAATGACATCAGTTTGTGGGACACGTTATTGCTGTGTGCGTCATCGTATGCCTGCATGTCTGCTCGCCAGGATTGGGAGGTGCGGCCGTACAACTCTGTGTGCAGCGACCGTACAAACAGTGACCAATCACCAGCCTCTGTTTGTTTAACCTAATCCCCCATCCTGATCATGAGTAGCTCCCCGCGTGTACACTTGATCCGCAATATACGCACTGAATAAACGTGCTCCGTGCTACACGTCTGTTTCCTTTCATAGCTGGGCTATAGCTTAGCTGGTTCTGGGAGTCTAGCTAGATGTTGGAGAATCTGCCACAGAGATTTTTGAGTCAGTCAGGCATTACTAAGGTGTCAATCCGCTACAAGTTCTTCCACCTTGAAAAATATTTTTAGTTTTTTGTTCTGATGTCAGTGTTAAGTAAGGAAATGATTTCCATCAGTATGTTTGCATTTCAAACTTCTTCAGATATTTTACCTGATCATGTATAGTCTTTTCGTCTTCTCAACTCTTGGAAAAACGATTAAACTAAGTGACAAGACCGACCCTGTTTAATAAAAAAAACGGTCAACAACCATGCGACATAGTGGATTAGCACTTAATGAACCAATCAGACATTTAAATTTGGAACATGAACTACTAATTAAGCAAACATTGCACAATTCAAGTGCAAAAATCAAATGATGTAAGTTTCTTCGGTGCCTTGACACTGCTCTCAGATTCGTTTTATTCATCTCCTCTTTGTCATTTGTCTTGCTTTCTAATAACCAATTTGTATTTCTTCCTCCAGTTAAAAATTGAAGTTAATTTTTAGTAATAATCCACGTAAGTGCGAACTGAGCTTTACAGAAACTAACAAATGCTTTCTGCCCTGTATCTTTAAATCCTGAATGGAATTGATCCAATACATGATTAGAAATCTTATATCCGAAAGCCATTTATAATAGTCGTTAAATAATATAGATTTATATCCAAAATAGATCCAGGTAACCGCTATCACATATTCAATTTTAAGGACACTGAGGGTGCCAATGCACATTGTGAATAACAATAATGGTATAACGAAATATACAATATTATTGATTGATCGATGAACTCAGAGATTTCTGATTCGAACTTAAAATTCGATGAGCCACACATCGACCTCAGAAATTCGGTTGAGTATGAAAATGACGTTTGAACTAAAAGGCCAAAATAAATGAGATAGGGTTGCTATGATTTGACGATCTTATTTTACGCATAATTTCATTCATTTTATTTCACTGTGTTGGAAACGGTCTAACGCTCCAGGTGCTGCATTTCTATTAGAGCACGCCCGTGATTGTTCCTATTGAATCAATTGAAAACTAATTAAAAACTGAATTCCAAGTAAAGTGCTCAGATCTTAATGACAAAGTTTAGATTTATCTTAAAGTAATAGTAAAGACGTACAATGAAAATTAGAATAGAAATCATAGTTCGAAACGAGCTATGGTACAAATTTAAACCTTTTAACATTATATCATACAAGAAGTTGTCAGACAGTAGTGGAATAAGAAAGGCTGGCAGACTCCGAACCCATACAGATTATATCGGTCGAACTATTCACACGAGACTTACTATCAACTCGCCGTAGAATTGGAAAAGAGTTCTCTCTTCTTGGGGAATTTTGCTGATTTGCCACTCGGAATTTTTTCGATTTCATCTTGCTCCTCTGCCTTTGAGCCACAAGATCAACTCGAGCATTTCGGTAGAGATCCCTTTTCCTCGTAATATTCAGAACTATGGTATCACAGAGCACTGTTGCAATTCCCAGAAGAGCAAGTCCAGATCCCAAGTTCATGGAGAACGTTAGAAGGTGAAATTTGCCTCCTTTGCCATAGACGGTAATAAAGAACTGAATCCCATAGGCCTTAATGAGATTTCGTTTTCTAATACCATTTTCAAGGTAATGATGACTGAAACGGAAATTCCAACCTTTTCCTACGGCACTTTCGAAATCATCAAGTCGGCGGAAAATATACTTCGGAAGACACTGATTTTCATCGTAGTCCAGATTGCAGTTCCACTCTATGTGAATAGAAACCATTCCTCCCTTATACCAAATATTTTTGTTCTCCGCTCCAGTATATTCCATAATGTCACCTAGACGAAAGATTGGACAATACTTCATCCGTTCATCATGTGGATTATATCGACAGGTTGAAAGAAAACGCTTATCCATCCAGCTTAAAATGTTCCGCCTTTTAACGCGGTATCTGGGAAATTCAATGCTATTTTTTAAAAGCACAGTGAAGTTTGGAGCGTTCTGGAGGATAAATTTATCTGGAAGGACATCGTTTTCTGTAGGGCACCAACCATAGATTTCACAGACATTCTGATGTGGCTTTCGCTTTGAAGCAATACATCGACCAGTTTGTACACCACTGCCTGACATTATTATCCGACCAGATATGCAGTCATTATTAGTCGTGCAGATGCTCTCAAATACATCAGGCGACTCGTCGCATGTACTTAGCGTCTGTCCGGGTGTACTAATAAGATTTGTCATTACAAAGAAAGCGGAACGCTGCTGAGGAGGTACAACATAGTCTGCAGCATCCCAGACCACAGCTCCTATGTTCTGTCCACTGAAATTCGAAAAAGCAATGCCTTTAAGTTTGGCAGTGACTCCACTTGTAGCTTCATCGAAGGCTTGATATCCTTTTTCGTAATACATTACCCAGAGGGCAACATACAGAACAATTCCGAGTTGAATTAAGCGATATGTACATCCGATTTTGAAGGAATTAATTTGCACCACCTTTTGAGTTTCATAATCAAAGAGATTGGTAGAACAAGCCCTCCAAAATGCCTGCAATTTTACACCCATGAATTTTTACCAATAAAAGGGATAGTGCAATGCCCTAGGCATGGTCCATTTATATCGGTAACCTTATAACTTCCAATTGGGTAGAACATCGACCAATTAGAAAATAGTGAGTATAAATTGCATGGGAAAGCTGCAGTTAGTACGCTTTGCAAAAGATTACTAAATTCCTACAGAATTTATTCATGAATTATAACATTCATATTTTGTTTGCTCATCATTTTCAAGTTGTCTGCACTTTTTTGCTAATGCAAAAGAACGAAAATCCTGATAAAATAACAAATAAAATTTTCAGCAGGGAAATTTTTTAAGTCAAAACCATTTCCGCTATTTAAAAAGTATTCTGTCAAAAATAATACTCTAAAATAACAAAATCTGGGTTAATAATGATATCTAAAAAAAGTAAGCCTGATCTACCAAATTAAGTTGGCCATGACGGTAAAATATAAGAAACATCAAAAAATCTGAATTAACTTTAAAATTTTTAACAAACGTTGGGCTGCACTTGATTTGAACCTTGTACAAGAAGAACGAGAACTAAAAAATAGTATAGTGAGAAAAGTTCGACTTTGAGGATGAAGGAATTCTCAAACGTTAATGACTTATTTCATCGGCCTTCTGAGAATTTCCTCCTAATGGAAGTCTCGATACATTCATAAAACAAACCACTCTATCACTGACTAACTAGCGAGTTAATGACAACGATGACGATAAGCTTTCAATAAATTGTCAATCGGTTTTCCCCTATTTCAAATCATAAGTGAGTACGCCAAACTATACCAATAGTTACTTGCCTTATCAATGATGCCGTGACCTGCTATTAACGGCAATACAGTTGCGTGTGTCTGCTTTATATAGAATGCCAGACTTCCAAGAGAATGAAAAATCTGTCTGATGGGTAAAGTGAGGCGTTCAAAGTCCATATCCGATTGCACTGAAAGAAAAGAATCTAAACTTCTGTACACAAAGCAGGACCATTTATGGCTCCCTCCACGCTGATAGACGGACAGAATTTGACGTGGTCTATATTCATTCGGAACTAGTAGATACTACAGTCACGAGAGCTATACGAGTAGATCGCCAGTGTAACTCGCTAAATGGCTGTCTGAAGATAATTAGTGAAAGCGCTAAGTTGACCTTGAATGTGGTCGTCCAACGACAGTGGACCAATAAAATCGAAAGTTCGTGGGTGGGAGGGGTGGGGGAGGGGGATGAGGAGGGGAAAAGGAGGTACTCGACTGCAATCGAGATCGCGAATCGATAGACCCAACAAAGTGACTCATTTATGGTAGGTAAATCATCCAAGAATGATATGTATTTCCGAATTGAATTAACTACAATCTATTTTATGTAAAATGGGTTAATGGATATTTACTGCTGAAAACAACCTTTAAAAGTTATTATAAAATTTTCAATAAAATAGAAGATTGAAACAAAAACTGTTACTTTCAAAATGCTCTGAGGTCTGAGCATCATTAGCTTACCTTATAACAACGAGCTTACTTAACACGAGAGTAAACCCCATCATTACTTCTCTTCCACAATCAATTGAAATCAACTTTAAAGCACAAATAAATAGACATTAATGATAATGAATAATATTATTTTCAAGTGCCACTTTTCCATAATTATGCCGGAATATAAACCAAAATGGTGACACAGTGGTTCTCGAAATCGATTTAATATCTGCTCTGTGATTTTTAATAGTAAATATTGCAGAAGTTTCAAAGATCTCTAGAGAAATGTCTATTGAGTTTTTCGACAAAATTCGCTAAAATATGCTCATTGTTCAAGTTAGCGGTTGAAATAGTTTATAATTATAGTATTCTGAATAAAGTAAATGGACCAATTCTGAATCTTTGAAGCTTCCATTTTTTGTCAGCATAAAGCTCTAGAGAAATTGACTTTTAAAGATAAAGAAAACGCCCATGGATCGAATGAAGTGAATGTGTTCCTACAACCAACCGGATCAGTAGAAAATACTCTCAGTCTTACTGGTTGCAATTTTTAGTTCACTAAACGAAAGGACGCTCGATTTGTCATTGATCCGTGGACAATCGAAAACACTGTGACGTTGACATAGTACGGTTTCCAAAAAACTTTCAAACAAATTTATAGAAGGAAAGAATGCATAATAATATAGGCCTCCAAAGATGGGGGGGGTATTATTGAGTTAACTAGACTTCTTTCAAACATAGTGAAAAATGCAGTGGTAAAGTCGGTTACATTTACTGTGCTAAAGATTATGATATGTTTGAGCTATATATTCTATCTTGATGATCAAGGACCAGAATCAATAAGGGGAGGGGGTATGAATGACGAATAATTAAAAAATGACAATATTGATTTTGTAATGCTAAGTCAAAAGTTCATATGCTTCTGATTAATCCAGTTTTTTTATAATTCAGTTAAAAATATTTAGATAAAGAAAGTGTGAGTTGATCCAGGATAATGGATAGGTATTATTATTATTATTATTTATTATTTCAGAGCCGCGAGATGGCGTAAAATAGAGTGATTTCTTACGTTAATTTCTATTAGTGCTTTCAAATTCTAAATTTAATGACCAAACTATCAAGCTGATAGCTTAAGGCAACAGCATTATTACTTGAATACAGGATCAAAAATGTTCCAAAATAGGACCATAGTTAAATTTACGTTTCTAAAAGTTTGCTCTACTTTCATCAAGTAGTCCTTACTACTTATTCGATGTGTAAAATATTTCTTGAGCGCACTTTATAGTCCAATTTAAAAGTAGGGTCCACGCAGCAAAATGTCCGTCAATGCCATGGGTCGTCAAAATCTGATGAATAAACTTTTAATTGTAAGAGCCGATCTCTCCTTGGTATTCGAAAGTTATGTTATATAACTCGCTTTGTTGGAGGTGATTTAGTAAATAAATATGGGAACAATAAACTGGATTGAAAATCGATACAATCACCCAGGCTAGGAGAAGTTAAATTATCGAAAACTGTGGACAATTTTTAATGCTTTCGGTTCTGCTCAGAAAGACCTTGAAGACGCTCGAGTGTTGGAGTCTTAACTAGATCACGTCTTTTATTGCGCCTAATTTGCAAATTTGAAGGCCTGATTCAAACGCTAGAGGCATATAACAGCTCAGAAGTAAATGGAAAAAATATTCGCTTGCAGACAATTTTATTATCAAAGGATAATTCCATCTTGAATTGGGGATGTCCACTTTAATTTCACGAATGTTAAATACAAATTCTTGGGAACCATTGAGCAGTGATAAAACTGAGTTTCTTTGAGCTAGAATTTTCAAATTCCATTCCAAATCCAATTATTCTCTCACTAATACCAAACATTTCCTTTAAGTTGTATCGTCGAAACAAGTGAGATGGAGGGAATAGTTGCAAAAACTTTTTATTGGTGAGATTAATTCAAAATCACAAAATTCCCTAAGTTTTAATTAAAATAAATCAGGTCAGTTAATTCCATTCAGGTAGTTACGCGCTTCAAACTGTCAAATTTTTGCCGAGCAGCAGATAATTGCTTATTACAATAGACGAGCATCTCCTGGTCTCTAATGGTAATGCGAGCGCCCAGTGCAATGCGTATATTGAAGGCGCCGGAACCGACTAATGGATTAGTTATAATAGGAATTGATAAAACATTTTTTCCCATATTGTATTCTCCACTTGCTCACAAAAAGGTTACTTAATAAAATGGTACAAATTAAATGACCACCGCGTCGTGCGTTGACTATTCACACTTAATGAGTGCAATTTACACAGTGAGCGCACTTTGTTAGAAGTTAATGTAGTATAAAAGCAATACAAAATTTTTCTGTGGAAATAAAGATAAGTTATTTCGGATAATGGATCTGTGTAAAACTAATCATAACTGCAACTGTAGAGGTGGCAAAACAATGTTCATAATCTTTTAGAGTTATGTGAAGGTCATTAATTGCAGGTAATGCACCAATTATTAATATCTAATGAATAAAAATCAAAATGTTAATACTTTCAAGTTGGAAATGCTTTTATTACAAACCCTATTAGACGATAGAGAGAGAGAAGGCCTGAGTGGAGCATTTTGTGAGCGTGAATGTCACTCTGTAAAATTATATGGGTGTGAGTATACTTTTAAATGAAAGGAGAAAGTTTGATAGATATAAAGAATTGATTAGCGCTTCTTTGCGTAATGGTTTGTGGAAGTTTGGTGTTTTAGCCATAGTGACAGAGAATTCTTCTTGGTTGATTTGTTGACAACCTTCAGTTGGGGAGTCAGAATAGTCTTTTCTCCCTCTTCAGAAAAGTCAAATCGTCTTATTTGTCTAGACCAGTTATATCCAAATCGGGTTGGTTGATTGGAAAACATTTTTCGCTCGTATTTGCCGCCCACCAAGGCAGACATGGATATATTCGTTCACTTTCAGATTTCAAGATTTCATGGGAAACTTACCATGTAACCACTTTCGAAGGTAACAGTGTTGGTCTGCTTAAATCTCTCTGTACTTCCTTGAAGATCAGGGTTATATCAGAAGTTAGAAGTCATGAGATCAACTAGATTCATCTTCACGAACAAGGTTCAAGAGGAATGTGCTCATAGGAGTCTATTTCAAGCAATGCAGGCTGACAGACAAACGAAAGGACCTACCATGGGCCCTAATTTTAAAAGAGACACAAAAGCCTTGTCATTTCGGGAACTGCCGAAGATATTACGAGTGGCATATCTAATTAAACTTAGATCACGATTTACTAATATGGTGCTAGCCCAATGATAGAATGAATAGAGAGGCTTATTGAAATTTCTATCCTTTTTAAAGAAGTGCGTTATAGGAATTGCTTTACCGTTGAGCGATCAAAAATAAAAAATAATTGTTGATACGACTTGATAAAAAATAATTTGCAACAATTACGCCAACCATAGAAGGTGGGACGATAGGCAGATATCATGTGCAATATGGTTTCAATTGCTACCTAATTCCTGTTAATATGGATGTATAACTATTCTATTTGAAGGCGAAATAAAACAACTGA